CCCTCCTCCCCCTCCTCCTCCTCCTCCTCCTTCTGGCCGCCCCGCCCCGCCACTTACTTTGTTGCTAGTTGGGTGCAAGGCAGTGGTGTGCGTGTGTGTCTTTGAGTTATTCCGGTTGACTCCCTTTCCCTTCTTGACCGGAGGAGGCCGGAGGGGCGCAGGCCTCCCCCATACCCCCCGCTGGGGCTCGCCGCGCGGCAACCAGGTACAATATGAAATACAATAAGGTCTAGTTTCTATGCCGCGTTAGGGCGGGACGTGCGCAGAATGGCCCGGGAGTGAACGGCGCCGCCGTATTTGTACCCTCACTGGCAACTAGACTAGCCCCGGGCCGCGCCGGCCGGGGCCGCTGCCCCCAGCCTCGAGTGCCCCGGCCAGCGCGCGCGCGGTGGCGACCTCCCTGCGGGGAAGGAGACGGAGCAGGGACGCGCGCCATTATTGAGGGCCGTTTCTGCAGCCGTTTACATTTAATCCCAGTGGAAAGCAGGACGCAACCGTCTTGTGTTTCGCCGGGGAGGGAGCGGCAGGACGCCGCGCTGCCCCACGTCACGTGAAGCCGCCGCGCCGCGTCACCTCCAACGGACGACATGCGTGACATTCTTTGCGACGTGCGCGATTGTGAAACTGCTTACAGCGCCAGTTGCGCGCGACAACACGCGTTTGTGCGATGGAAATAAGGGACTTCCTCGGTCATTACGAGTGTTTGGGCTTCTGGGAGTGGATCGTGTAGGTGCCATTGCGCTGGTTGTCCATCGCCCCACCGGACAGTATTTTGGGGACTGGATTGGAGACCGGCCGGTACCAGAAGAATTATTATTGACAAATGCGGGATAGCTCTTCCGATCACCAACCTGCGCGGTCGGTAGGGTCTGTGTTTCTCCGTCTCTCTCCAGTATCGTAACACTGGAGCCACATTTTCACCCGCCAGCGGCCTCGGCGAACAGCCTGTTTGCCAGAACCATAGCCGCACTCTGCCCGCACACAATGAACGTGGTGTAACGGTGTACTAGACGATCGCTCGACTATGAACCAGAACTCCGGGAACAATGGAAAGATAATACCCGAGAACACTGGG